TGTTTGTTAGCCATTGTCTGTCTTCTTTAGAGAAGGTTCTATTCATGTCTCTTGCCCATTGATATACAGGATTGTTGGCTGTTTTCATGTGGATTAATTTGAGTTCTCTACAGATCTTAGTTATCAAGATTTTGTCTGATTCAAAATATGCAACTATCCTTTCCCATTGTGTAGGTTGTCTATTTGCTTTGATTATTGTCTCCTTAGCTGTACAGAAGCTTTTCAGTTTAATTAAGTCCCATTTGTTTATTTTTGTTGTTGCAATTGCCACAGCAGTCTTCTCCATGAAGTCTTTCCCTAGGCTGATATCTTCCAGTGTTTTTCCTATGCTTTCTTTGAGGATTTTTATTGTTTCATGCCTTAAATCTAAGTCCATCTTGAATCAAGTTGTGTGAGTGGGGAAAGGTGTGGGTCTAGTTTCAGTCTTTTACACATGGATATCCAGTTCTCCCAGCACCATTTATTGAATAGGGAGTCTTTCCCCCAAGGTATGTTTTTGTTTGGTTTATCAAAGATTAGGTGGTTGTAAGATGTTAGTTTCATTTCCTGGTTTTCTATACAATTCCAAATGTCTATGTCTCTATTTTTGTGCCAACACCATGCTGTCTTGACCACTATGGCTTTGTAGTACAGCCTAAAATCTGGTACGGTGATGCCCCCGGCTTTGTTTTTATTACTAAGAATTGCCTTAGCTATACAGGGTTTTTTTCTGGTTCCATATAAAATGCAAAATCATTTTTTCCAAGTCTTGAAAGTATGATGTTGGTATTTTGAAAAATAATCATTGTTTTAAACATCTTGACTTCGGCTGGAATTTGTTTTTGTTCAAAAATTGAGGTTATGGGGCTCAGTGCCTGTGGCTCAAGCGGCTAAGGTGCCAGCCACATACACCTGAGCTGGCGGGTTCGAATCCAACCCGGGCCTGCCAAACAACAATGACAGCTGCAACCAAAAAAATAGCTGGGCGTTGTTGTGGGCACCTGTAATCCCAGTTGCTTGAAGGCAGAGGCAGGAGAATCGCTTGAGCCCAGGAGTTAGAGGTTGCTATGAGCTGTGATACCATGGTACTCTGCCCAGGGTGACAGCTTGAGGCTCTGTCTCAAAAAAAAAAAAAAAAAAAAAATGGGGGTTGTGGCTTGGTGCCCATAGCATAGTGGTTACGGCACCAGCCACATACACAGAGGGTGATGGGTTCAAACCCAGCCCAGGGCCAGCTAAACAACTGTAACAAAAAAAATAGCCAGATGTAGTGGCGGGCATCTGTAGTCCCAGCTACTTGGGAGGCTGAGGCAAGATAATCACTTAAGTCTAAGACTTTGAGGTTGCTGTGAGCTGAGATGCCAAGGCACTCTACCAAGTGCGACATAGTAAGACTCTGTCTCAAAAAAAAAGTTTTTTTTTGAGGTTATTTTTTTTCCAGATGGCTAGCCTCTTCCTCCAATCCCATTTATTCAACAGCCCATCTTTCTCCACTGATTAGAAATGATATCTTAGGAACTGAATTCCCTATGGCTTTGGCTCTATCGCTCTCTGTTTTGCTCCTTTAGCGTCTTTACTCAGTACTACCTGAGAATGTACATGTGCACACGTATTGACCTAGCAGTCGTCATCCTTAGGAATTTATCCCACGCAAACAAATCTGGCAAGTGGACAAAGAGGTACTAATGGTACGGAAATGATCATTGTGCAAAAGTGAAAATCACGGAAGTGTGTGGTGGCCTCAGCGTAATCTAGCAGGGACCCTAGTGATGTTTACCAACCTTCTTTTTTGACACATATTCTCACTTGGTGGCGCTTGGTAGAGTGCCATGACATCGCAGCTCACAGCTCACAGCACCTCAACTCTTGGGCTCAAGTGATCCTCTTGCCTCTGTCCCCCTAGTAGTTGGGACTATAGGCACCTGCCACAACACCAGGATATTGTAGAGACAGGTTCTCACTCTTGCTCAGGCTGGTTTCAGACTCCTGAGCTCAAGTGCTCCACCTACCTCGTCCTCCCAGAGTGCTACGATTACAGGCAGGAGCCACCATGGCCAGTCATTCATTGACTTTCAAAGCCTGAGCTGGCCAATGG